TTCATGTTTTCTTGGGGTCATACCATTTGACATGTAACCAAAGCACAGTTGACCATAGCCTGAAAACATCACATTTTGTAATTCTTATCAAACACTTTTCTGTCATATAACTTCCTCTCACATGGTTTTCTTGCACAAATGGGCAAATTGGCTCCTTGAATGATTATTGCACCACCATGCTATTTAGGAAGTTGATTCACTTGATTCCCAAAATTAATAATAATATTCTGAACAATTGTGTTGTATTTATTTCATTTAATATTAATCAACACAGATGTAAGATTATGCCATAATTGATACGGTGTTTTACTGAGAATTTCACAGATTTTAAACAAGTTCAAATATTTGGTTTATTGTTAGACTACATTGACATTTTTGGCATCATCCCCCCAATCCCCCCGGTCAGGATGGATGGATGGGGGTTTGTTCAATGCAGAAGATAAAGATCAATGACAACCTCAGTAGCTGAATCTGGGACATGCAGCAGGTCAGAGAGGAAAAACACAATTTTGTGTACAAGACTTATAGTGGAACATCGAACACTGAAGCTGTGTTTTTATGACAGAAAATCTAAAGCTTAATGTGGTATCATCAGAGGCTAACACAAAAGTGATTATGATTATGAATGATTCTACTGAAGACTGGAGGAGATTGGGGTGGAGGTTACACAGGTCACTGAATAGCGGCTGACTGCAGTAGAGAGGAGAAGGGGTTTAAAGTTTGGCAGCAGATGCATGATTGGCTGGAAGAGACTGTGGAAACGCCCACAATAAACTGATTAATAAGCATAGAGAGAGTGAGAGAATTGAGATTGATTGAATGGGGGGAAGTCTTTCTGACTGAACTTATGCTGAGCTTCATTAGTGTCTAAGTGTTTCAGTGTAAATCACCTCTTTACAGCAAGTGCCTGGATAATTGGTTCAGATGAAAACAATTTCAGTCTTTGGGGACATGTAAGGATTAGATACAGAACTGCTGCAGCCATCATAATGCACATGTTTCTGCTTCATTTTAATAAATGACTTCATAAAGTCCTCCAGCAGATGGCAGACAGATACAACCTACTTCACATGAAGTAAGCTGGAAAATGTGAAGTTGGAATATATTCTATGTTTCAAAATTGTGTGATTGTTCTCTTAAAATTATTTTACAAGAAAAACTCAAATCAAATGTATCTTTAATATATGAAAAGAAATCAGGCTTTTTCACGTTTGATCCCGTCTGTGCTGTGGCAGCTCCAAGCCCATAGAGTTTGTTCAGTGGGTGGCAGCAAAGGCTAGAACTAGACTGCTTGTCCTGCACTGGCTAATGGTGTTCTCATCTGCCTTCTGTAGATGTTTGTGGACTGCTTGAGCCAGTGTCGTGTACTGCTATTTCTACATCAGGAGGCCATTATCCCAAAACCATTACCTGCCTTCGCTCCAGCTATTTGTCTCTGAATACAAGCACTTATTCCTTTATTCAACCCTCTCAGCCACTAACACCTTGACAACAGGTGGTCAAATGAAAAGAAGGCATTTCTAAGGTGCTGTCATCTTTTTGGATCAGGCTTTTTACCGAACAGCATTAGCCTAGGTCACTGGTGTTTATCATGTCCTTGAAGTTCTGTTAAATTCCGAAATATTCAGAAACTATTTTTTTCCCTCTCACACTGTCTCTGCTGTTCATTGGTGCACAAAGCTCAGATAAATGTGGCTGATATGGCTGCCAGTAGAACACTGTCAACTCCCATGATCCTAAATAGCCATAGTCATAACAATGCCTGCGACCAGCCACAGTGCTTCACAGCCATAAAGCCCCCCTGGCATGCTCAATTTATCATACATTTTGCACTTTCACACTGTTCACAGGAAGACCTTCATGTGGCATTAGTGTTAGTTTGTGAAGAGGCCCTCTGACACCCAGCCTGATGCACCTTCCACGGCTCACATTCATGCCCAACCTGAAGGGAGAGGCACGAGGAGAAGACCCTGGCGCGCAAATGTGGGCAATTTGGTTTGCGGCTGACACCCGGCGCTCTGAATAAATGATCTAAATGTTCGCCAGAGATTATTTTGCCACTGCCGCCCCTCAGCGATGACACAAGGGGGGGCAACACCCCCCCCTGGCACTGCGATGGCCAGCCAGGATGAATATGAGGAAATGAGGCAGACATCCAGTAAATAATAGTTGCCATTGTGCCCCTCAGCAAGCGGCGGGGCCCAGGGTGGTCTAGAGGGAAGACGGGGGAGGGGGAGGCCTGCATGATATGCCAGGGCCTGACATGGCACCCAGACCCTGAGCTGTCACCCCTGCGGAAACATCACCCTCGCCTCCACAATTTGTGCACTTAACACTTCAGTTGGCACATGACAGGTGCTTATTTCCCCGTACTGGCTTTTCCCCCTCGCAGTGATGCCTCCGAGCTCAGGGCACACACGGCATCTGGTATGGGTGTCTGTCCACGATGCTGCTTGCAGTAAAAGTGTGTGACTATGCCAGCGATACTTTTCACATCCGCTCACACTGCATTTGCAGCCCACTGAGCATGGCTTTAGTGTGCATGTCTTATGTGTGTGCGTTCATGTGTGTATGCGTGCGAGGGACAGAGGGGTCCCATCATTATAAATCCAGCAGTTACACAAAACATGTCTCATACAAATAAAAGAAAGTGGTGAGGAAAAATGTTGTGTACACTTTCCCAACATTCATTTTCCTTGCTGTTGCTTTGAGCTGCAAAATTAATTGATTGACATTTTCTTTAGGCCCTACATGTGAAAATAAGCAGATTAGTAACATTTATTTTTTCATTGCTTTCTGTCTTTGAGTCAATACTGATACTTATGTATGTTAATGTAAAATGCATATTAAGATAAATCAAGATATCTGGCTG